GCCACCAGGGAAGCCCCAATTTAATATTTTTGTAGCTGTATTAGGAAGAAGTTAATGCAAAGGCCTAGAAGGAAGTTATAGGATCATAGAATTTTAGACCTGGAAAGCTCTTCCAAACTCAGCTTTGTACTCTCTTGCACACACCTTTCATATTAAGGTGACCACACTTTGTCTTGAAATAAAGTTTCTTCGGTTCAAGAAACTTCTGCCTAAACGCCAAAGAAGAGATCCAGGGTATCTTCACTCAGGGCAGCTTTGACCTAGATGAATTGTTGGTTCTTCCAGATCTCACCTTTACTCTGGATTTTCTCTTGACTCTCACCTAGAAAGTTTGTTAACCTCTTCACAGGAGTCCTGAGGGTCTCATAGATTTTCTCTGCTTTTGTAAATATTAAAGGCAGCTCCTCTGGGAATATCTAATTGAAAGGTTGGAAATTTGCCTCTGTCCAAACAATGCCAAAATTCTGGTCCAAATGGATGGTTCTGCTAATAAGCAACAAAGTTATAATATATATATTTTTTGGAATCACTAAGCACTGCCACATTAGACCAGATCCCAGCTGTGCCTCTAACCTCTCAGTGAGGGGCAGGGGTTCTAGGCTTGCACAGCCTGGAGTTGACTTTATTTCCTATCATGTGGATAGAAAGTAGAAAGTTGATAAACATGAAAGGTGTGTCAATAATGTTAAATCGTTACAATGGGAATTTCAGTGTTCCAAAATAAGAACCCGTCAACTTAACCAGAGTAGAATAATTCTGGCTTATAACTAGCTGAATTCAACAGTTCTTGATGAAACGGATGTCTCCTATTTTACTTGATCAAAGACCACCATCCTCATCCCTAATATTGTAAATTAGTTAAATCTCTTCCACAGCAATAACAACAACAATAATAATCATATGTCAAAGGAAAAATATTTTATCTCAACCACACCCATATAGGAAAAGAAATCAAGATATTACCCTAAGGAATGTTGTTGTTATTATTATTAGTGACATTTCGTCATAATGAAAAGCTCATCAAACTTGGAGTTAAAAGATTGGGTTATAGTCTCACCTCCGTCACTTTCTAGTTCTTTGAGATCCTGGACTAGTCACTTGGGTGTCTAAACCTCAACTTTCCCGTCTCTCTAAGTCAGGGAATATTAATTAACAGTTTGTCATGCTACTAATAGGGTTGTTGTGAGAAACGAACAAACAAAAGATATGCTATGTGAAAGGCCTTTGTAAATTTTTTTTTTTTTTTTTTTTTTCTTGCGTTATGCGGGCCTCTCACTGTTGTGGCCTCTCCCATTTGCGGAGCACAGGCTCCGGACGCGCAGGCTCAGCGGCCACGGCTCACGGGCCCAGCCGCTCCGCGGCATGTGGGATCCTCCCGAAACGGGGCACGAACCCGCGTCTCCTGCAACGGCAGGCGGACTCTCAAGCACTGCGCCACCAGGGAAGCCCGGCCTTTGTAAATTTTAATGTTTTATTATTAGCACCAGAAATTGCAGTAGGATTTTTGCTCCGCTTCCTAAACAAGAAAACAGTTCCTCAATTCCTCATATTTTTGGTTAAGAGAGCTTTTTCACATTTGCTGTCTTCTGTGATACCTGTAACAGTCCTGGGAAAGTGGCAAGGAGAAGGGAATTTGGTCCTGTATTCTGTTTCAGGTGCATTGGGGTTTTGGATAGAAGCATATACCTGAAAACAGGAAAAAAAGGGGGAAAAAAAGTACATATATATATATATATATATATATATATATATAGAGAGAGAGAGAGAGAGAGAGAGAGAGAGAGAGACAGAGAGAGAGAGAGAGAGAAAGA